CACAATGGTACATATGGTTTCTCTAACTGTGTCTTCTTCTTGTGCTCTTCTGATATCTTCAGACATTTGCGGTTCCACAAGAATGTCATCTGATTCTGGATCCTCTCGATGCCTGGATGCATTTTGATGATCTCTGGATGATTCATTAGAATCCAGTGGTACCGCTTCAACGACTCTGACTGATGGTTCTTCAGTAGTATCTCTGACATTTTCTGCATCCATGTCCATATCATGAGCAAAACTCTCACTGCAACAACAATTATAAACACAGAAAGTTGGGATTGTGTTTGTCGATTACATGTATGGAACCAAAAAATATCATACTTACTGTTTATTTTCATTATGATTGGCAGAAAAAGTCTCATGAAACGTAAACAGAAGGTCTTCTTCCCTGTCAAACTGCAACTCCACAAAGTATTATCTTTATTACATATATATTCACGAAATTACCGGAATGAAAAGAAATTGAATCAAGAAACAATGTCAATATACTCTGTAGTAGAACCTAACAGTAACACACTCAGTAGTCTATAAGGTGAGACATACCCTTTCCATTGAATACATGTCCATGCTCTCTGGTTCCTGACTTCCATCTGTTTCATCGCAGTGTAGTGGTATTAAGTACATGCACAGTGATGAGATTCACTTCAAACAACTTTTAGTAATAAAATACCTTTAAGTGTAATATCTTCATGCGGCTTAACATTTCCCCTGAGAAAGAAGAAACAAAAGGTGAGACTATGAAAGAATCTCTGCGAAATACATTCTGTAAATGAATAACAATCATACCCATGAAAATCCTCCAGAATCCCAAGATCAAAAGCATCTAGTTCAAATCTCTCAGGCAAAGCAATGGAAAAACACTCGATAGATGCAGGCAATGAAACACCTGCCTTTTCTCTGTTCTTCTCCTTAGCCACAAACTCCTTTACACCGATCAACGCTTTGTTGCAATCATCAAACAAAAAGTCCACCTTCTTGGAATATATCCTTACAACACCCAGAAGAAGATACGCTAAAACTCTGTATGTCAACGCATCTAACTCTTTTTGCAAGATCTGATCTGTGCATCCAAAAGAAACCCAGAAGAATTATATATCATAAACGGCAACGAAGTAAAAAAGTTCAGAAAATGTCAAATGTTATAGAAAAAATCCATCTTTCTCGAGGCTGCAAGGACTTTGGAGATCAAGCAAACTAAATGTTGACCAAAAATTCAGCAGCTTTCTGATACTATGTGAGTAAGAGGAATTGTTTGGAGTTAAGTTTATATGAGAGTCTAAGGATTCGATACTATTCAGACTTAGTCACTGAACTCAATCTCTGAGGTTCATCAGGCATTTTATCAAACAACTGATGAACATAAACAACTACCATTGAAAAACCCCAAATAATCAACAGTGATCTCTAATTGACGCTGCCAATGGATACAAACGAAACCCTAAATTCCGATTTCAGGTAAAAATTCTACTAAAAGCTGCAAACTTTCACCCAATCAATCACTTTTCCAAGTCTAAACCTTAAAATCACCGGAGAAAAATCTCTAACTAGAACAGATAGAGGAAGAAGAAGAACAATGTGAAGGAGGAGAGAGACAAACCAACAGAGGAGGGTATATGAGTAGCTTTGACTTGAGCTTTCTTAAGCTTTTTGAAGAAATAGGCAGCGACCCAAATAGCTCCTAAAGGTCCTTTTCTCGATACGAGACATTGCGAGTAAAACATTTTTTTGTCTTAAGGTTTCCCAGATTCTGGGTTTTAGACAAAGGTTAGTTTTTTTTTTTTTTTTTGAGAGCAGAGAGAGAGAGTAAAAGCTTCGTAAATACTGAAGCGAGGGAGAGAAGAAATCGATGAGAAGGAAAACGGTCAAGCGGTGTACGGAACAAGCTTCTTAATAAACCGATAAAACTCTTTTTATTTTTATTTTTAATGTTAATTTTTTTCTTGTTAAGTCACGCTTAGTCTGTTTTTTTTTTTCAATTCGTTTTAGTAATTAAATTGTTTTAAAGAAAAATATATTGACAATATAATGATATATCTTAGGAAATTGAACCTTACCAAAAAAAAAATCTTAGGAAATTGAAAATGTTTTGAATTATAGGTGTCTTTATGATAAGTCATAAATTTAAATCTTCCTAATTAGACGGTGACCAGAAAATCACACCTTCTTAATTATGCATTTTTTTTATATCGGTACTTCCTTTTCCTCTTTATTGAGTAATTTCTCTAAATTATTCATAAGAATATAAAAATTAATTTTGGTCAATATATTGGAGGGATTGATGTTATTAGACAATTTATAATTTATTTAATTAATTTTGGATTAACAAAATATATATATACTAGAGTTTTGTAGATATGAAAAAGGCATTGCTGTTAATTGATCAACAAAGCTAAAAATTGAAATATGCTAATGCAGATTAAAAAGAGAAGATTATCTGTGATATGGAAAATTTAAATACTAAAAATCTTATTTATATTTTACCTTTTCTAGATCCTACAGAAAAAGAAGTAAATAAATAATAGCACAGTAGAAGATAACGACTAGTTTGATGGAAATGTGAGCTGTGTCACTCCTTCACACATCGCATCGTAAAGAGCGTTTAAATGTTTATTACTGCGCACAGTCATTTTGTATAACACGTGTCTGGTTAAAAGTCTACGTGGCGTTGAAGTGACAGCGACATATCATAGACCATTGGTCCGACGTGGCATTGCCGGTAAAAATGGGCCTTAATAAATTATGTCCAATAAAGGTCTCAGAAATATCTCGACTAAACCCTTAAAAGTCCAATAAAGGCCCAATTAGTCACTCGGGTCCTTAAAACCCAAATCTCTCTCTTAGGGGTTCCGATTCATTCTGGAAGTAATGGCATTTATAATTCAATGGGCCCGACAGGCCCAATTTGATCCATTCTTGTAAAAGTAATTGTCTGTCTTTTGATATTCCTTTCTTCTGACCCAATTAAGACAAAACCCAACCCAGTACACACTTTTCCCTTTCGAAACTTCTGAAAAATAGAAGAGCAGAGAAATTAGCCTAGTATATGGGTTTTGTTAATTGGGTCACAAGAAACGAATATCAAAGACAAAGATGAGTGGCATTAATATCTTAACGAGCCCAAATAGGCCCAATACGATCCATCGACTAAAATATATCAGACCCCACCCTAGTTCCCTAGAAATGTACGAGGAAGATGATGATGCGAAACATGAATGCTCAGGTAAAACTCAACAACAACATATTTTTCTGTGATTTGAACATCAAAATGAAATTTAAAAGATACAAATTTGTTTTTTGCAGTTTCTCCACAGGTCGAGATCGCAGCGGATAGGTCTGTTCCTGCTTCTCTCAAATACATTACAGAACCTACTCGATCATAATCTGATTTTTTTTGTGGTCAATCAATTTTATAGGTGACAGTTTTGTAGGGTTTTGTGACTTTTGTCTTAAAGCTACACTATCCGCTGTCGGAGGAGGCGTTCTTGGTATATGATGATTATGTTTTTGTCTGTTTTGTTTTTTCATTTTTAAAGATTTTGATAATCGGAGTCATGATCGGATTTTTTCTTTTTCTCCTTGTTCAGCTTATGTAACAGCAGACTCAGAGGGTGATCCGAAAGCTGAGAAGGTAAAGAGATGGGTTATTAATTTATATAAGCTCTCTTTTGACCATTTGCTTAAAAATGACATATATTCATCTTCTCATATGTTTCAGACTAAAACACAAATGTTTGTTAAGGAAATTCTGAAAATAAGGGGATCCAAAACCTTCCCCTGATGATTCCTCTTTTATTTTATTTTTTGGTTTGAACTATATATATGTATGTCAACTATAATAATAATACTTTGTTGTTTGAGTTGAAATTACTCTCTTCATTAGAGACTATAATGTGACATATCTATTTGTTTGTAAACCATCAAACCTTAAAGCTATGTTTATTATATTATCTTTGCGTAATTTGCCTGATATTGGTACTGTACCTGATTGAACTTGGCTATTTTCTTCATCCATATTCCATATATATACCGACCTCACAAATCACAATGCAGGTGATCAATTTTGGCCATTGGAAAGGAAACATGAACCTGTACCCTGCAACAGCTTTCCCCATAACTTGCTTGTTGTGTAGATTGTCACATGTGTTTTGTTTTGTCAAGTTTCAGTTGGTGCGCATATATGTCCTCAAAACCTGGTTGTTTAATTACATTGGAAAATTTGTTAAACTTCAGCACAACAAGTATAAACGTTCTGCATCATTTTTTTAGAAAAATCTAAGACACTTGCAATGTGGTCTCGATGCAAATCATCAAATATATAGTCAGTGGTGTTAAAAACAGAATCTGTTAAACTCCTCTTCTTCAATCCACTAAATGAGAAGCTTGGTTTATGAGACCCTAGTATCAATCAGACATTCTCATTCATCATATTGTCTCTAGAGGTTCATGTCTTTTGAGTGTTTTTAGGTTTCAGAAACGAAATTTATGGGAAGATCAGCTGCATCTCCATATGCAAACTTTGATAACACAATATCTCCCTTAGAATGCACAACAAAGACACCAAGACCCTCAATAGTCTCCTTTTTTTTTTAATGACTTGGGCTTATATGCATACGGAAGACAGAAAATTGCATAAGATACAAAGTTTGGATTTGGTTTTTATGACTCTTGCGTTTTGAGGTAGGTGAGCAAGATGCTATCACAAAATGATTTAAGTATTAGATGCAAATTACGATTTTGGCCTCCACTTGAGTTCCGAGAGTGATGATTCCCCTTGATAGCATCAAAGGGTTAGTAACCTTTTTGTAGAGAGTGCCCTTTCGTCCTCAGAAAAAAGTAACCAAAATCCTACAAATTAGAATGTCTCTAACATGTGCATATTTGCAAAAGCACACAAGTTGGTGTCAACGCTCGTTTTTTGTGCAGACAGGCGTGTGTTCATTGTTGAATCTTCCCGTTTCCTCATCCAAATTCCGACAAAACTCTCTTAGCCGCCATTTGTTCTCCATATTACAAAACCCCCAGCAGCTTCAAAACTCTTCCGATCTCTCTTTGACGCCGCAATTCTCTCCTCCCCATTCTTATAGTTTCTTCTCGGAATCACAAATCTCCTGCTTCTTGTTCCGTGGTGAGTTTATTTATTATATATGTTTTGCTCTGCTTCGACACTTTAAAAAGTCTGTTCCTTTTCTCTCTCTGAGTTCGGTTTTGAGTTGCGTTTTATTTAGCAATTTCGACTTGTGTTTTAGCGCTTTTTCTGAATCTGATGTTGAACTCTTTATCAGAATTAAGGACCCATATCATAGTTAGGGTCTGTCAATTACATCTGGGCTTTGTGCCAATTGAAGAAATTAGTGAATAATTTTTGTCAAATTACATCTGGGTTTGGTCCTCCTTGTTGCTCTTTTGGTGTCCCTAGTTTCTCCTTGATGAATCCTTCTCGTGTAGTAATCATATGATTTCCTAACTATAGTTTCTGAGTTTTACTATATGTTTTGATGATGTTCATGTTTTGATGATGTTGATGTTTTGATGCTGTTATGAATGATGATGCTAATGATGGATCTGAATCTTGTGAAGGTGTGTGTTGTTGGTTATTGAATGGCACTTGTCCAGAGGATTCCCATTTCCTCCTCTAGTGTTCGGAATTGGCAACAAGCTAGGACCAATTTGAGTCCTATTTCTTGTTTACATTACAATACTGCGTCTTCTTCTTCACCCTTTACAGAGAAGCACTCTGTGGAGAGATACCAAAGGGATCAATGGCTCTACAAGGCAGTTGAACCCACGCCACCATCGACTCCATCTCCATCGCCATTCGAAGATGAAGTCTTTGTTAGGGAAAACGATATTGCATCGCAGCTGCCTGAGCTGAAGAAGCTCTTGGCTGTGCTGAGAGAAAAGAGAGTTAAAGGCTGCAAAGGCGGTGATTGTGGACCGGGAGATGTGTATCTGGTGGGCACAGGACCAGGAGATCCTGAGCTTTTGACTCTTAAAGCTGTTAGAGTTATTCAAAGTGCCGATCTTTTGCTTTACGACAGGCTTGTTTCCAATGATGTCTTGGAGTTAATTGCTCCTGATGCTAGACTTCTTTATGTCGGCAAAACTGCTGGTTATCATAGCAGAACTCAGGTAATACCAAAGTCCTTGTTTTGACTGCTTAGCCGGATCATATTTTCACGGATAATATCATTGTTTTAAGAAGTGGTTGCTTAGCCGGAGCAATAAGCCTTTTGATGTTTGTTGCAGGAGGAGATTCATGAACTACTCCTAAGTTTTGCTGAAGCTGGTGCCACCGTTGTCAGGCTTAAAGGTGGAGATCCTCTGGTAAGCTTATATCTGCGTCTCATACTCTCCCTAATTTCTTGTATGGCTCCTTTTTAAATGTGTTTGCAACTTCTATTTGGATATTTCAGGTCTTTGGACGGGGCGGGGAAGAAATGGACTTTCTACAACAGCAAGGGATTCGAGTTCAAGTTATCCCAGGTAATGTTGTTATTCTTGTCACTCTCTTAGTCTCTTCCAGTTTACCATATCAGATGATAATTCTCTAAGCAACTGCTTTTAATTTTTGGATATGTCTGATTTGAGTTGCAATTCTTTGATCAATATGGATATTGCATTCTTTGGGAACTCAATATGATTGTGGTAACTGAGCTGGTTAATCTTACCAAAAGTTTGGGACTACGATTGTAGGGATTACTGCAGCCTCGGGGATAGCAGCAGAGTTGGGGATTCCGTTAACACATCGAGGTGTTGCAACTAGTGTGAGGTTTCTCACGGGTCATTCTAGGAAAGGAGGGACCGACCCTCTGTTTGTAGCAGAGAATGCAGCTGATCCGGACACAACCCTCGTTGTTTATATGGGGTTGGGAACCTTACCTTCTCTTGCACAAAAACTAATGGACCATGGTCTCCCTTGTGATACACCAGCTGTTGCGGTCGAACGTGGAACCACTCCTCTACAGCGTACAGTAAGCAACCAAACCATACTCTCTTCTCTGGGATTTCCAGAGCGTCTGTTACTTGAGTTTATAAGGCTTTTGGGATTTTGTGCAGGTTTTTGCTGAGCTTAAAGATTTTGCAACTGAGATTCAGTCAGCTGGATTGGTGTCACCAACACTCATCATCATAGGGAAAGTCGTCGAGCTCTCACCTTTATGGCCACATTGCACGAAAGAATCCTCCTGCCTTGTAGAAAGCCGGTAGACATTTCACTCTTATTTTATGGGTCAGTGGCTTCCATTGACATTACGGTGAAGTTGTAGGAGCTATGGAGCTATGAAGGTTGAGACTTGAGAGATTAATAAACAAAAAGGAAAGCTTATATTTTCTTGTGTCCCTGTCCTTCAATTCTTTTTGGACAATGCCAATGGCAATGTTAATGTAATAACAAGTTTCAATGCCATTGTTACTAAATTTTCCCACTACAAGATGGCTTTAATAAAATCTTAATAGTCAAAATTCAAATGAAAGTTTTTTTCTATGTATAAATAAGTTAGGGGAAACAATTCAACTTTTTTGGTTTTTTTTTTTTGGGACAAAAAAGGTCTTTTGGTTATGTGTCATGAAAGATTAACAAAACAATCTCTCCTATCAAGTTGTAATGTTGAAAAATGGGTATGAATCGAATAAGAGCTAATACATAATGTTGTAAAACACCAGAAGAAACAATGATTCTTCTGATTGTGATTAATGGTTACGAGTGAGGACTACATCGAAGGTGATAACCACTTGATCAACATTATTACTCAAGACTTGAATTTGTTTCGTCACGGTGCTTTTCTTATTGTTGGTGATTACCACTTGATCAACATTATTACTCTAGCCTTGAATTTGATTTGGTCACGGTGCTTCTCTTATTGTTGGTGATAACCACTTCACCCGCCACTTTTGTCAGAGCTGGTGGGAAAAACATCGGCTTTTGCTCCGGTGTTGGTCCGGCTTTGCCTTTTCTTTTTCATCTCTTTTTCATCTCTTTCGAGTTTGAATTTGTTTCGGCTTAATTTGGCTTTGGATTGCTTCATCTCGTTCCTTTGATTGTAACTCTTCTAACCTAACTTGTTTAAGGGGCTGGATTCGTTCATCATGCTTACCAGATTTTCAATTTTAAAGAACGAATTGCGCTTTCGGATTGATGTATCTCTTGGTGCCTTTGGTCTGAGTTTGAAGAAATTGGAGCTGACGATTGTTTATCTCATCTGCGTCAATGGAGCTTAGGTTTCCGTCGGAGGCTTATCTATTTTGATAAGAAGATGGTAGTAAATCGAAGATGAAGAACTTTTTTGTTGATTTGTAATTCAAGGAAGTTTCAGTATTGGTCGGAGCTCTTGAAGTCGGAAAAGTAGCCGGCTGTTCGGAGTTCATCAGTTTTCTTCGTTTTCACACATTTTTCCGGCAATGGTCCTCTTTGGACGCGTGTATCTGGGCTGGATCTCAATCTCTTCCTTCCATTGGGCTTCTCGATCGGTTTATTTTATTGGGCTTGGTTTGAGTCTTGTTTGGTTGATTTTTTGTATTTGTTTTTGTTCGTATTTGGTTATGAGAAGGCAAAATAAAAAAAATGATCAACGAAGATTGTAATTGAGGAACAAGGATTTGTTCTCTCACTTATCACAGACTCCTACAAAATAACGATCACAAATCAAACCACTACTAAACAGCACTGAGTAAGAAAATCTCCCAAGGACAATCAAATAACCATCTCTTTTCGAGTTCATCAGAAATTTCAAGTCGTGGGGGGTTAGTAATGGTATGGTTTTTGAATCAAAGAATAGACCAGGCAAACAACCATATATTCATGTTAGCAATTAGACCACACATCACACAATTAGGTAAGCACATAATAACCAAACAGAATCAAGTATGCAAATATTACACAACAAACCAACCAAACCAAGTCATAGTTTCAAAGCATAGACCACACAATCAACTAATATATTCAACTTAGCGTTAGACCACACATCACACAACCAAGTAAGCAAAGACCACGTAAAAACCAACAAATTTAAGTATGCAAAAACGACACAACAAACCAACCAAATCAAGTCATAGACCACACATATAACCAATATATTCAAGTTAGCAATTAGACCACACATCACACAATTAGGTAAGCACATAATAACCAAACAGATTCAAGTATGCAAATATTACACAACAAACCAACCAAACCCAAGTCATAGTTTCAAAAAAGCATAGACCACACAATCAACTAATATATTCAACTTAGCGTTAGACCACACATCACACAATCAGGTAAGCAAAGACCACGTAAAAACCAACAAATTCAAGTATGCAAAAACGACACAACAAACCAACCAAATCAAGTCATAGACCACACATATAACCAATATATTCAAGTTAGCAATTAGACCACACATCACACAATTAGGTAAGCACATAATAACCAAACAGATTCAAGTATGCAAATATTACACAACAAACCAACCAAACCCAAGTCATAGTTTCAAAAAAGCATAGACCACACAATCAACTAATATATTCAACTTAGCGTTAGACCACACATCACACAATCAGGTAAGCAAAGACCACGTAAAAACCAACAAATTCAAGTATGCAAAAACGACACAACAAACCAACCAAATCAAGTCATAGACCACACATATAACCAATATATTCAAGTTAGCAATTAGACCACACATCACACAATTAGGTAAGCACATAATAACCAAACAGATTCAAGTATGCAAATATTACACAACAAACCAACCAAACCCAAGTCATAGTTTCAAAAAAGCATAGACCACACAATCAACTAATATATTCAACTTAGCGTTAGACCACACATCACACAATCAGGTAAGCAAAGACCACGTAAAAACCAACAAATTCAAGTATGCAAAAACGACACAACAAACCAACCAAATCAAGTCATAGACCACACATATAACCAATATATTCAAGTTAGCAATTAGACCACACATCAAACAATTAGGTAAGCACATAATAACTAAACAGATTCAAGTATGCAAATATTACACAACAAACCAACCAAACCAAGTCATAGTTTCAAAGCATAGACCACACAATCAACTAATATATTCAACTTAGCATTAGACCACACATCACACAATCAAGTAAGCAAAGACCACGTAAAAACCAACAATTTCAAGTATGCAAAAACTACACAACAAACCAACCGAATCCAGTCATTAGACCACACATATAACCAATAATTCAAGTTAGCGTTAGACCACACAACACACATTCAGGCAAGAAAAAACCACGCAATTACCAACAAGTTAAATCATGCACTACACAATAGCTTCAAAGTATAGACAACACAAAGCATTAGACCACACAGTTGACAGTACACAAATTCAAGTAGGTAAAAATCATGTAACAATTTCCAAATTCAAGCAAAAGCTTCAGATTCAAAGCATAGATCATGCAACAACGAAAAGAATTCAAGTCATGGGTTCGAACCTTAGACTATGCATCAACGAGTATATTCAAGTCACCAAACAACAAATTCAAGAAAAATGATTAAATCAAGGCACATAAGCTGATGCAACAACCAGAAGAACCAAGTCATGACTTAAAAGCATAAATCATGGCCCATGAAATAGACCATAAAACAACCAATAAAATCAATAGCCTCATCAATACTCTCACATCTAATTGTTCCTAACAATACTAATCAAGTAATGAATATCTATTGCAACGATTATAGAAAAGTTTGAACTAAAAGGTTTACTTACCTGAGAGGGTTGAAATCTTCTTACTGTCCAAGACTTTGCACCCTTTCAAGCAGCTGCATGAGAAATTGAGAACAATTATACTTATATTTATATACATGCCTTTTTACTTTACTTGTGATTTTGTTCAAAGCATCACTCACTCTCACCTATAACTTCATAGATCAAATTAGTTTGAAGAAAGTTTGTCAAATAAATGATTACGTTTATATCAAAATTGATTACCTGATCTTGTTGTAGAAGTTTTTAAAATTTGCCAAAATCTTCACTTTCTGCCATGATTTAAGTTTTCAACAATATAGGCTAATTAAATGCAAGTTTAGGAGAAACACATACCTATCTTGAAGTCCACAGACACTTTGAAATCTTTCATGAGTCTCCAAAAATATCTGGAAGAAAAAAAAAGGCTGCGTTAGTACATTTGTAAAATATGGGTTTATGCCTTTCATGCACATACCCTGTTAAAAATTTTAAACCAAAGAATCAGCTCCCGCTGGTTTGTGTTATAAGTTCAGGATACTCCCATGGAACTGTTGCATCTTTAAGGGCTTCAGCAATTCCCAATCACCATACCCTCTTTTTTTGAACCGAGAAAAGGATCTAAGCCGTGGGTTTTACAGACACAATGTGGCTGTGTTCTAGTCAAAGAGCTCCCAAAAATCAGACGAGTTAGGGAGTTTTTCGAACCGAATAAGGGACTAAGCCGTGGGTTTTTCACAGACACAATGTGGCTGTGTTATAGTCAAAGAACTCTCCCAAAAATCAGACGAGTTAGGGAGTTTTTCGAACAGAATAAGGGACTAAGCCGTGGGTTTTTCACAGACACAATGTGGCTGTGTTCTAGTCAAAGAGCTCTCCCAAAAATCAGACGAGTTAGGGAGTTTTTCGAACCGAATAAGGGACTAAGCCGTGGGTTTTTCACAGACACAATGTGGCTGTGTTCTAGTCAAAGAGCTCTCCCAAAAATCAGACGAGTTAGGGAGTTTTTCGAACCGAATAAGGGACTAAGCCGTGGGTTTTTCACAGACACAATGTGGCTGTGTTCTAGTCAAAGAGATCTCCCAAAAATCAGACGAGTTAGGGAGTTTTTCGAACAGAATAAGGGACTAAGCCGTGGGTTTTTCACAGACACAATGTGGCTGTGTTCTAGTCAAAGAGCTCTCCCAAAAATCAGACGAGTTAGGGAGTTTTTCGAACCGAATAAGGGACTAAGCCGTGGGTTTTTTACAGACACAATGTGGCTGTGTTCTAGTCAAAGAGCTCTCCCAAAAATCAGACGAGTTAGGGAGTTTTTCGAACCGAATTAGGGACTAAGCCGTGGGTTTTTCACAGACACAAAGTGGCTGCGTTCTAGTCAAAGAGCTCTCCCAAAAATCAGACGAGTTAGGGAGTTTTTCGAACCGAATAAGGGACTAAGCCGTGGGTTTTTTACAGACACAATGTGGCTGTGTTCTAGTCAAAGAGCTCTCCCAAAAATCAGACGAGTTAGGGAGTTTTTCGAACCGAATTAGGGACTAAGCCGTGGGTTTTTCACAGACACAATGTGGCTGTGTTATAGTCAAAGAGCTCTCCCAAAAATCAGACGAGTTAGGGAGTTTTTCGAACCGAATAAGGGACTAAGCCGTGGGTTTTTTACAGACACAATGTGGCTGTGTTATAGTCAAAGAGCTCTCCCAAAAATCAGACGAGTTAGGGAGTTTTTCGAACCGAATAAGGGACTAAGCCGTGGGTTTTTTACAAA